GGCGCACGAGGCAGGACGTCAAAAAGCTACGTCGCTCCTGTTCGTCGGTCACGCTTACCTCTTGACAAGGCCGTGGGGGGCGCGTGTCCCAACCTGACTGCACTGTCCCAAAGCTGAAATACCCACTCCCCAAAAAACCTACTGCGCGCCTTTGTCTCCTACCCACCCGTCCCCATTCCAATCCCTCTCCTCCGCCTCCCCACAACTCCCTCCTCCTCCCTCATGGCCCCCTCCGCGAGCGCGACCTTGAGTCTGATGCTCGTTGTGGGCGGGCAGATCTCCCAGGCACTCCCGCCCGCTAGCGCACAACATGCAGCCTTACAGCCGCCTTCGCGCCCGCTCACTGGCCGCTTCCTCCACATCACCGGTATACCCTCGTCCAAATCGCTCCAATGCCCTCCCTCTGCTGACCGCCTCTCTCCAGACTTCCATCCCGACCCCTACTACGAAACATATTCCTCCACCTCTTCAGATGCCGCCTGCCATCGCGGCAATGGGCCCGCCGGCTACTATGGAGCTGAAACCTCAGGCTGCGACAGTCCCTTGTCCCTCATCAATGCCACCTTCGATTGGATCGACCAAAACATCCGCGATCAGATCGATTTCATCGTGTGGACCGGCGACTCGGCGCGACACGACAACGACGACAAAATTCCGCGCAACGAAGATCAGGTCGTCGAACAAAATCAGATCATTGTAAACAAATTTCGCGACGTGTTTGGCCGAAGAGACGACGACGACGAGGATCCGACCAACGACTTTGTCATCCCCATTATTCCTACCATTGGCAACAACGACATTCTACCGCACAATATTTTTTTGGAGGGCCCGAATCGTTGGACTCAAAACTTTTTGCAAATATGGAGAAGCTTTATTCCCGAGGAGCAACGGCACCAGTTCCAGCGGGGCGGGTGGTTCTACACTGAGGTCATCCCGAACAAATTGGCTGTCGTTAGCTTGAACACCATGTGAGTAACACGCCCCATCCTCCTGGCGCTCCCTTGCACGTCTTGTGGTCGCTCGCGTGGAAACATTGAGAGTTGAACGTGTTTCGAAACACACATGAAGTCTGTGTTCCAGCGGGAAACATGCCCGAGTACAGACAATAAGCCGAGATCTCGATACGCTGCATATCCGGATCGGTCCCATAAGCTTAAATTGGGCGATCACTGACGTCACGCAGGTACTTTTTCGACTCCAACTCGGGTGTCGATGGCTGCGCCATGGACTCTGAGCCCGGATACGAACACTTTGAATGGCTGCGCATCCAGCTCCAAATTTTTCGCGACCGTGGCATGAAGGCGATTTTGATTGGACACGTCCCGCCGGCAAGGACCGCCAATAAGCAGAGCTGGGACGAGACCTGCTGGCAAAAGTACACCTTCTGGATGCAGCAATATCGCGACATTATCATCACCTCCATGTACGGACACATGAACATTGACCACTTCATCCTGCACGACTTTTCGGAGGTCAAGAACAGCGTCCGGAAAGGCAAGATGAAGGGTTCATTGAAGCCGAAGTTGACCGTCGCTGAGGATGACGAGGAGATCTCCATTACAAGCGCCGAGGATTACCTACTCGATTTGCGAGACTCTTGGTCGAATTTGCCCACCCCTGTGACGCCTGTCAAGCCGACTGACTCCGCGTCTCCTCCTGGAAACAAAACTTCGCTGTTGAGGGCAATTCAGGAGCTTTTTGGAGAGCAAGACGTTCAAGTTCCAGCCGACGACGACTCCGATTTTCTGGAGGGCATTGGTGGCAAATTTGGCGAGAGATATGGCCATTCGATTGTTGGCGCCAGCATCATTCCAAACTTTTTCCCGTCCATGAGAGTCATCGAGTACAACATCACTGGCATAGAAAGTGTTGGCGCCGCTGGACTTGCTCAGCCTGGACCAGCTTCGCAAGAGCTGGAAAAGTGGGAAGAATTGACAGAATCCGACACCGAGGATGAAGACTTTGAAGAGCTTAAGAAGAAAAAGAGAAACAACAAGAAGGGAAAGGGCAAGGCCCTGAAGAAGAAAAAGTACAAGTTCACCGTTCCTGAAGGCCCCTCCAAATCTGCGCCACCCGGCCCAGCCTACTCTCCGCAAACCCTCTCGCTCGTCGGCTACACGCAATACTTTGCCAATCTCACTCAACTAAACAACGACTTTTCCGCGATCAACGCCAGCGCTGCCGACGCGGAGTCTGAGCCGGAAGAATGCGCCTCCTCGAATCCAACATCCTGCCTTTACTCGGACGAAGACGGCGGCGGCGATCTGCGCGACTACGGCGACGGCTTTGCGGCGCAGCGGTGGCGCGAGGGCAAGCACCGCGGCAAGAAGCCAAAGCAGGGCAAACCGGACCCCAAGCCCTTTGCCTTTGAGAAGGAATACTCGACCTTCGACGAGGATGACGAGTACAAGCTGCCCGACCTGACCGTGCGCAGCTACATCAACCTAGCGCGGCGCATCGGCAGCTTTGGCAAGAATGGATTCGCCGCCGTCCCCGGAGCAACCGACGGCGAAGGCGTCATTACGTCCGAAGTGGATGAGTTCCAAACAGGCGATGCACCAAGTGTGCAAAAGGATAAGGACGACAAGAAGAAGAACAAGCCAAAGCACCACGTGTGGTACGAGTTTGTGCGGCGGGCGTTTGTGAGCACCCTCGAGCAGCCAGACATTGAGGGTTCGTTCGGTCCGCCTACCACGCCGCAATGGCAACAACGACAAGAAGCAGCAGAGGCCTCATCACGCTCACCTGCAGAGACAGAAGCAGGCCTGGGTGATGGCGAGCTTTGAGTTGTTTGTCTGCTGGCAGCTGGCGATACTTTTCTTGTTCAACTTGACTTCTTTTGAGATCTTTCAACGCATATGGGGATTTGGAGTCTTTCCTACTACCTACTACCACTTTGATTCACGATGCACGCAACGCACGCACGCAAAATTGGGTTCGGGTCGGGTTTGGTGGCCGGTGTTTTTCTGCTTTCACGACTACCACATGCTAGAGATAAGAGAGCAGCGCATGCACGCACCGCGTCGGTATGCCATGCGTCCATGGACGAGCTGGTTCGTTGGACGCAAGATTGCTTTTTGGGATGGCACTTGTCACGAATTTCCTTGCTGGGGGTTTCTTTTGGATGGAGTTGAAGAGAGTTGGCCGAGATTGAGGGCATGGGTTGGGTTTGCATCAGAAGAGACAAGACACAGAGAGAGTGCGGAGAAAGATTGATGCATTGGGCAGACGGTGACAGACGATATGATACCTACGGCACGATGCAGCACAGGATCCCTATGAGCCAATCGATGTGTGGACTTCCTTTTCCAAATGTCTTCTCTCGTGCTCACACAACGACCAAGCGCCTGCTCTGCACTGAGCTGCAAATGCTCCCTCAACCGTCTGCGAACTTGTCCTACTTTACCTCGCAGCATCCTCCCGCATGTTCACAAGACAACCAAGTCGTCCCACCGCGTGCCACAAACATTTCCCATCCGCACCTTTTCCCACCTCGTCGTTTCCTTTTCTCACTAAATCACAAAAATCACCAAGCCCCTCCCACTACACGCCACGACGGGTCCACATCCTTACCCATCCCTGCTTCTCCATTGTAATTCTTGCCCATGCCACCACCTCGTGCAAGCCCCCCCTCCCCCCCCCCCCCCAAAAAAAAAAAAGAAGCGCATCAATTGCGTCCCCCGACACTCAAACACCTGCGTGCATGCTGCTTTCCTAATCCGGACGCACACATGCAAAAGGCCAATGTTGCCCGCCATTGCCGGTGTCGATGATGAGCAAGAGATATCCTTGTATAACTGCCGGTCCACGGCCCCCCCCTCCTTGCTCATCATTGTCGTCTTCGTGGTTGTTTGGATTTTGCGGTGGATTTGCTGTGGGTCAAGGAGTTGGTGGCAAAGGAGGTCTGTCTTAATATTGGAGGTTTTTGATGGACTATTTTCATGCATGCGAAGGTATTTTTTTCCATCAAAGACTTGACGTCAAATGTGATCGAAATTCATTGTGTTTCATGAAATTAGAGGCCACCGCAAACTGCCCTGCAAGCGAGTGTACAGTACGATTGGGTTTTGTATCATATTCTTTTGGTGACTCTACATAGATATATCCTGTATTTCCAATGTATCCCTTGCCTTGCCTTGCCTTTGTTTCTTGTTACGTCTTTTCACATCTTGGTTTTTTTTTTTTTTTTTTTTTGCTGCGCGCGCAGGAAATTGATTCAATGGAAGATGTCTCCTTTCCAGTCATTCTCCTACATCATTCATCGTCTACGTTGCTTCCTCGAGTTGCTAGCCAGACATTAGAATGCTGTTTGAGCAATGCGCCTGCCAGAGACTAACTACTACAGGCAGGCTGAAGCTCTTCGAGCACCTGTGCCCCAGATTCTCTATGTCGATGCATGCCTACTCCAAGCAACTGCGCATGCTCAGCAGCCGGCGCAATTGTCGAAACAAAACCAACCTTGGTGTTGGTCGTCGCGACGCCAGCTCTACGCGCGGCTGTCAGGACCACCTCGCTGCAACCTACCTCTCTCCCCTCGCCCCCCCTGGTCACCCCCCCCCCCCCCCAATCCACACCCCCCCAATCGCCATGCAGGCTGCAGGAGCTCACCGGTAACGGTACGTCCCGGCGACTGGCGTGCCGACTGCGCCGGTACTTGCCTCCTGCGCACCTCAGTCGCAAACCTACCGCCTGCGTCTGCGCATCCGTCAACCCGCGAGGCACGCGACTCAGTCTCGGACCGAAGGCGAAGCAAAAACCTCTGATCGCGCCTATTGCTCGCCACCGACATCATCAGGGTCCACCGCCAGCTGCACAGCGGCAGTTCAGCCGTGCCGGAGCGCCCGCCGCGGCAAAAAGCAAAGTTTTCTTTTTTGCGGGCAGCAGCCCTGCCAGCTCGGCGCAGCACCCACATCACCAAACGCGCCCCACAGAGCACAGGACCTTTGCCAGGCAAAACAAGAACCCCCCGGATGAACCAGGGACAAAAGAAGAAACTGGGATGGTCACTACGAGGGTCGAACTCGCGACCTTGGCGTTAACTAGACTCTCTATGAGAGTCGCCATATTAGCACCACGCTCTAACCAACTGAGCTAAGCGACCCAGATCGATGAGAAGACGATCGCCAAGCGTGTTTATGATTTGGACTTGCCGACCTGCAGCAAGCTAGGCGTCAATCAGGGACTCCCTACCGTGCTGGTAGCGGCGGGACGGGAGTATGAGGGGCAGTTGTGGTGATGGTGGGGTGCCAGCGAGGGGCGGGTGTGTGCCTGGTCGGCGGCAGTTGGAGGGGTTCGATGGTGTGGAGCGAACGCGTGGGGGAGGGCGGCTGCGGATCTGGAGCTACGTGAGATGATTAGCGAGAGGACCGTAGCTCCCCTTTTGCGTCGACGAGCCACCTGCGACGAGGTTGAGACTGAGACCTCGCCTGTCCTTTTGTCTGCTCCAGTTTGAGACCAGCTTGCGATCTTGGCTCTGTCCGGACGGATATGTCTGGGCGTGGTAGACGCGTTGGGGCTTGGGGTTGTTTGACTTGGGTTGGCTGCTGAGCGGCGGGCTAGCTAAGACGGAGCGGTGTTGAAGTGGCAGGCTGCGCAGGTATGTAGTCGGGCAAGTCAGTTGGAGGCCCGCGTGGCGTGCATGCGAGCATTGCGTGAGGTTGCTTGTCTGGTCGCAGAGTGGCAGGCCGGTCGCTGTTCGGGGTATGCGGCCAAAGGAGGGGCTCGGTATGCGGCTTTGTCAAAGCAGCATGTGGGTCAACTGGGCTGACGGGCTTGCTCCGAGGGTTAGAGATACGGCTGGTTCCAGCGAGTTGTGATTGGAGGTGTTGTCGTGAAGAATGTGGACGACGGGGGACAAAGGGAGGGAGCTCAGCGGAGTGGGTGTTTGTGAGATGCATTGGCCAAGGAAGCGCCGTCAAAGGGCGACAGGGAGCAGCAGCCAGACCCCTGGCGGAGTAGCAGCGGGGAGCATGAAGCGCAGTGACGATGGCTTGCAGTGATGATAAGAGGTGTAAAGAAATGGAGGTCGCGTGGTTGAATCAGGCGGTGGATATAGTACTCTGAAGTAGCGGAATGGAACCGACACCATGGACTTGTCGACGTAGGCCCTGAGTGAGCCCTGGACCCAGAGTGGCAATGGCAAGGAACACCCAACGCTCGTCGCACTCTGTCGGGCGCGCTGTCGGTCACTAGTCAGCGGCCCACGTCGCCGGCCCAAACGATGTAAATACTCGTCTGCCTCGCTCTTTTCCAACATCATCTCGATCCTTTGACTCTGCCGGTACCGTACTACGCGCGCCTGGACCTGATCGCAAGCTGGAATGCGGCGCAACCTGACCTAACCACGGCACTGGTGAGCTCTTTTCGCGCCCCTCCACCTCCATCCTCTTTCTCCTTTATGCTCTTGCGCCCGCCTGCAAGGCTCCCGGTCTCTCTCGATCCATCCGGCCCGGCTCCCTCGTCCTTGACGTCGCCTTTTACTATGATGCTGTTGGCCCAAGACCTCGGGGTTTAGCAACCTAACCCCCGGTTCTGCTGCTTCTGACCAACGAGAGCTGCCGACACGGGCACGACCACTCGACCAAGCACTACCACACGTCCACAACCCGCTGACGCCAGTCTTTACCACCTTGCACAGCAGTAATCCCCGATCGAGAGCGAATGGAGTGCCAAACAAACTCCTCTTTCAAATACATCCTCAACTTCCTCCCCTCGTCCTCGTTCCGTGTCCGCCTTCGTTGATATATTCCTCTGAACAACTATTCCGGACCCTCCTGTCACCTCTTGGAGTCTACTCTTAATTCCACCCTCTCCTCCCTGGTCGCGACTATCCATCATGAAGTTTGGGCACAATCTGCCCCGCAATCAGGTTCCCGAATGGGCTTCTGCCTACATTGACTACAAGGGCTTGAAGAAGCTCATAAAGGCTGCTGGAGAGACTGCCAGAAACAAAGGACGCGAGCCCGATCTTGCAGGTAAGCCGCCGAGCGCGCTGGAGAAACTCTTGAAAAAGCATTTTTGCTCAGCTTTTTCCAGAATTCTTCTATTCCCTTGACCGAAACCTCGAAGATGTCGACGGATTCTACAACAAAAAGTATGCCGAATCAGCAAGGCGCCTGAAGCTGTTGCACGACCGATATGACCGAGCCTCGCTTTTTCCCGACGGTATCGACCGCGACGAACTTGAAGACCTTGTGAGCGCTTTGCTCGAACTCCGCGGACAATTACGAAAGCTACAGTGGTACGGCGAAGTCAACAGGAGGGGGTTTGTCAAGATCACCAAGAAGTTGGACAAAAAGTTTCCTGCGACACACAACCAACAACGCTACCTTGCGTCCAAGGTCGACCCTAGGCCTTTTGCAACAAATTACAAGTTGCAACAGGATCTCAAGGCCATCAATGACTGGCTTTCTGGACTTGGAGAGACCAAGGTGTACGATGATGCTAGCTCGGTCCATTCCACCAGCTCTTTGAAGCGCGTGTCTTCTAGGACTATGCTGAACCTCTCTTCCACTTTTCTGGACACCGTGGATCAAGCAATTCGCAGTGACGACGGTTCAAAATTGGAAGAACTTTTGCACGACTCCAGCGTCGGAGATGATCAATCGAGCTCCGGCTACCAAAAGCTGTTGCTGAACCTCCTGCAGCGTTCGATTACGTACAAGTCAAAGCAGTGCATTGTGGCCACTCTGTCCCATATCAACTCCTTAGAGGACGAGGATGATTTGAACAAGCGCAACTGCATCCATCGCCTTGTAATTGCGATTGGCCGATCCAAGGCGAACGAGGCGCAGAACGGGAGCCCCAAGCAGGCCTCAGGCAGCCTTTTGCAGAATCCATGGGAAACCAATGGATCCACCTTTATCTCTCCGGCAGAGTCGCCCGTACACATGCCTCCCGCCAGTAAGATTACCGAGTCGCAGTCTAATGTCTTGCTTGGAGCAGACGACGAATCAGTTGGTCTGCTGTCTTTCCTGCTAGACAGCCTTAAGCCGCATCAGCGCTCGTCACTTTTGGCCCGCGATTCGTTTGGCCGCTTGCCTCTGCATTACGCTGCTCAGCATGGGTTCGTCATCATTTGCCGAATCGTCATTCAGCATATGCAACAGTGGGGTCAGTTCAACGTATCTGAGGGCATTGATTCGCCCGCATGGCAAGACTCGGAAGGCTACGCTCCCCTACACCTCAGTGTCATTGGAGGGCATCCACTCACCACCAAGCTGCTTCTGGATTCCGAGAACTGGCACATGTCGCCCGATGAGAAGATTTCGAGGAGGAAATCAGTCTCAAAATCCGGTGCTGTCCTTGCTCTGGCTACAAAATCCAACTTTGTCCAGATTGTAAAGCTTCTGGTCGAAGCCGACATCAACATCAACTATCAGGATCAACAGGGCGAGACGGCTCTCCACGTCGCAGCTCGATTTGGTCACACTGAGTGTGCCAAGGCGCTGATCGATGGCTCTGCCGACCAAAAGGCGGATCTCAACGTTCCAGAGAAAGCGTTTGCCTGGACGCCGCTCTTTATTGCTTGCGTCGACGGACATCTGCCGGTGGCTCAGCTGTTGATTGAAGCTGGAGCTGAGCTTGAGAAGCCCGATCTTTCGGGCTGGACGGCCAAGGAACATGCTGCGTTGAGAGGTCACTTGGACATTGCGAACGCTCTTGCAGCTGTGACGCCACCTCCTGCCTCTTCCAAGCAGCCTGACCCTACCGTCCGCCCTGAATCTCCTCCAAACTCATCCATTGAAGAAAGGCGGTCGAATGGCGCTTCGAAAGAGCGCATTTCAGAGCCAGTCAAGACGTTTGGTCACCGTTATCTGAAGGACCAGACCCTCTTGCTTGTCAGTCTTGGTAGCATGGACATGAGGAAAAACATTGAGCCGGTCAAGCTTGACGATATCCCCATTACTGAGGCCCATGCCACCCAACTGGACACAGCGCTGTCTGTCGTCGTGTCGGCTCATGGTGCAGCTGGAGAGCCCACCGTTATTGACCTTCCTGTCCAAGAGAACATTAGCACTGACCCCATCACATTCAACACCAAGGACGTGACGAAGGTCAAGCTGTTGTTTGACATTGTACCCACTTACGCCGGTTCGAAAGAGCGCGTAGTGGGCCGCGCTGTGGCTTTGCTATCTAGCATCAAGCCTAACGTTGGATCTAACAGGATGACCCTCAAGGGCGACGTCAGCGTACCGATTGTTGCCGCCAATACGCTTGATGTCATTGGCTCGGTCAACTTCAACTTCCTCATCATCACACCTTTCTCTCATCCAAACCTGTCGATCACGGAGAATCATACTTACTGGAAGAGTATGGCGTCGACTTCGACCATGGTCATTGGACACAGAGGTGATTCGATCTTTGGGCCCCTTCTCCTCCCCTGTCTTTTCCTAACTTTCGTGAAGGTTTGGGCAAGAACATGGCCAATCGCAAGTCGCTGCAGCTTGGCGAGAACACCCTCCAGGTATGGCTCTTTGGACTCGATGTACATGAGCAGGGCTAATGTAGAAATAGTCCTTTATTGCTGCTGCCAACTTGGGAGCTTCTTATGTCGAGGTACGTCTCCTTTTGGACATCTCCGGTTCTATGCTAACTATCTGTAGTTCGGTACGAGAATACACTGCCACCTGCTGAGACTTTACTGACCTTTTTAGACGTGCAACTGACCAAAGATCACGTTCCCGTCATCTACCATGACTTCCTCGTTAGCGAGACTGGTATTGATGCGCCAGTGCATACCCTCACCCTGGAGCAGTTCCTCCACGTCAACGAGCAGTCTCGGGCTGCCCAGACCTCGCAAAGTAGACCATCTTCCCCGACAGAAAAGGATGACGGCAAGGGAGCTGCTCGCGCCAGGGTCAAACGAGCTCGCTCCTACTCTGTGGGAGTTAACAACGAGGACATTTCTGCCTTGAATGAGCGGATGAAGCACACGCGTGACTTTAAGATGAATGGCTACAAGGGCAACAGCCGAGGAAACTTTATCCAAGCGCCATTTACAACTCTCGAGGAGATGTTCAAGAAGCTTCCTGAGTCTATTGGATTCAACATTGAGATGAGTCAGTACAATCTTGACCGTCACCAAGAACATTACTGATC